TTTTTTCAAGTATTTTAACTGAATGTAGTGTTTTATACTTTTCTATATTTTTCAATTTTTAATGAAGGTATTTTGAGGTTTTCATGTATTTTTGCCTTCCAAGAATTGAATTAATTGAATGCGAAAATATCTCTAATGAAATTAGAGGAAAAACACGGGGATTTCAGTGGTTTTCCCCATGCATGTTGTATATACGAACTGGTATGAATACGAAGATTCCTTGGTTGTTGTCTTAGAGAACTCACACAGTCAATGTTCATCCATGGAACATGTGCAGGTCAATGTGATCATCTAGAGATATCCCAGGTAAAATCATCATTCCATGATCTCTGTAAGTGTGTCTGTCCACCATGTGAGACTGGTTATATCCGGGTGCGTTGTTTCCTCCGGCTCAACTGACGACCTGAGTCACTCTCCAATATGAACTTCGACTCTTCTGTGAAATGAAAAGAGTCCTTGGGTCAAGCGCACACAAAACCCTGGTCGTCTGGCATACAGATGTGCATTGTGCAAGCGTCTGCGTACTGTAGTAGATGAGATTCTTGTTCCTGTAGCCACTTATTGATCTGACATGAGTTGAGGCCCAGTGAAATTGCTCCTCCTTCGGGTTGAAGAAGGTAAATAAAGGTCTCTGAACGTGTAAATCTTAGTGTGCCTGGAACATGTCTTCTAAGCACAGAAGGGTTAGTCTGGAACCACCCGCGTGTGAAGGTTGCTCCCACGTCGTTCCGTTCTTTACCTCAGTATTGGCGGAAGTACGCAACGCATCAAGCCAAAAGCAGTTGCAATGAGTAGCAGACGTCTTCAGGAGCACATCGATATAAAATTCGATGATCGGATCGTGGCCATTGGTTGATGATCGGACCATTGGTTAATTAATTATCGAATTTTAAAATTTTAACTAAGTTTACGCGCTACGATGTGTGATTTCTACATCTTCTAAGCCTTCTAGTGAAGCCGTCACCAGTACCAAGTCCTCGATTCTTGGAATAACGCAAGTAGTAATTAGAGACTAAGTTCATCGTCCTAAGTTAATTAGAAGTGCTGATTAGTGCAGATTAATTGAATTTGCACGTGGTGAAAATACGTTAACTTGACCTCTGACCTTTCAAACGAGCTCACGTTCGTCTTCCCCCCCCCAGCATTCGCAAAGAAGTAGTTAGCAGCCGTTAACAAAAGGCCCATAACAGAGACTGGGGAATTGTTTTAACAGTGTTTTCTCTGAAAATAGACATGTTAGAACTATAGTACCGACGTTTTAGTTCCTCTCAACCTTAGCGAAGCATGAGTTTCTAAATTTGAAGAAATTCCGCCCATTAGATCCTGAGTTACGAATTTTTGCGCTAATTTAAGGACTTGTCTTTTTCTCAGCTAATACCGCCACTAGACCTGGAGCTGTGTCATCTAACCAAATTTCCTAATTACTACAAGCCCGTGTCATGAGTACACAAATTAGTGTTCTTCAACAGTGACTTCAATCAGTGCTCTTCAATAGTTTCAAATAGTGTTAATTAGTGTTTATCAAATGGAGTTCTTCATTAGTGATTTCAATTGGAGTTCTTCATTAGTGATTACAATTGGAGTTCTTCATTAGTGATTTCAATTAGTGTTCTTCAATAGTTTCTACCAGTGATAAATAGCGTCCCTCACTAGTGATTTCAGATTAACGTTCTTCAATAGATTCTACCAGTTCTAATTAGTGTTCCTCACTAATGATTTCAATCTTCACATCTTCACAGTGTAATAGTGTTAAAGTGTGTGTTTCCCTCTGAATTATCTGGATTAATGCCTTTATCAAGAACAAATGAAATACTGCAGCCAAGGTAGGCATTTTGTTATTAATTAATCCATTACTTGATCGGCACTCTCTTGTCACTTCTTACCGAATTACCATATGTGTCAATTGGTTCTGATATACTAAATTACCCTTAACTGAGTTGTTTGAATAATTACAGTGTTAATTGGATTTCTCTTAAAGTGCTATTTAATTAAATTCACAACTGTGCCTTATTCCTATCGCCGCGATATTCGGACAGTGATTGGTTATCTTAATTAGATTTACTGATATATACCATTACTGTTAATTGGATGTCTTAATTATTGTGTTTGCCTCTAACCACCGTGCTGAAAGGAAATTGATTGGTCTTCCTAATTAAATTTACTAGATTATCCAGACAAGCAGCAAATTGTGTTAATTAATTACTTTATTTAAGTACCAATCTCTAACTACCCGGCTAAAAGGGTGTTGATTGGTTGTTTATTGTTCAAATTGAATGTCATGGGATGCCTTAACTGTGTTTAATTAACTTCAATGTCAAATTCCTGTGCTAATTAAGTGATTGCTATGTTAATTTGATGTTTACACCAAATTGCTAATTAGACTTTCCGCGCTGACTGTTAATATGAAGTGCTAATTGGGATATTTTTTGCAACTTAATTACTCACTGTGTTGATTGTACATAATTATATAAGTGCAACAACCCAATTACCGTGCAGTCTCTGCTTGATGGGTAAATTAGACATACTGTAGAACCATTCATTTATTGTTTACAAGGACTGATTAGATATTTTATTTGTGATAACGACTAATTGATCTTAATTGTGATAATTGCTATTGATATTATAATTATGATAATAGGCACTGACTAGATATTTAAATTGCTGTGTCGTACCTTTTTTATTTACTGTGCATTATGAAATTTCATGTTACAGAATTAGTGTATCTAACTGTTTTATCTAGCTGATCCTATCTGATATTCAGTAAGTTATTAAGTTGCTGTTATCCTTAACACATACTAAATTCTGTCACATCCCTCTGATAATAGAGACATTCTGTCACTACTAAACAGAGCAGTAACATTGTATGATTGTATTATTTGTAATTTAATGTTAGCGCATTCAACTTCCTTCTACAGTTCACAGTGCGCTTTGTACTCAACAGAACCAGTGTTCTCTAGATCTGTTATTATATCTTAAAGAGATTTAGCGTAATTTTTAACTGTAACCTGAACTTTCATTTTTATCAGTACTTAGCACTGACCTGTCTGACAGTACTGTCTACTGCTATCTAACTGACAATCAGTACACAACGAACTGGTCTCTGTATTGATTTACTTCCTATAGTTATAATCTACTGATAAGCAGTTCTCTCTAACATCGTTCTAACTGGCAAGTGGCACTGTTAATTCTAGTGCTTTACGCATCATCATTAAATTCATTCTCAACATATCATGTCACAACTTACAGTACTTTCAGCTGACAGTGACATAGCATTACAAAAGAGTGAATTAGACCCCTCAGTGCTTCTTGATTCACACGTCGCGTACGAAGAAAAGGTGGGCATACTTTGTGAGAACATAAGAAGAGTTTCAACCACATATCGTGGAAACAAATACCTCCTCCCAACAGATCTAAGGGAGCAGCTGCTAGGATCACTTGCAGCTCTACAAAAATTATCTCTCGCAGGCCCTGATAATATAATCAAGGCTGATAAAGTTGAAATAGGAGTTAACACATCAACCCTCCTGTGTTGTGAGATTGCCCATACGCATTCACAACAACATCCGGCTCACGATCAACAGAGTTGCAACGAGCAACCAAGAGTGCCTTCGCTCCCCCCACCTTTTCAACCACAGACTTTTGCGGAAGTATTACGTAATTCTAGTAAGCCAAGTCTGATAATTCAGCCTAAGTATAATAAACACCCAGGAGACGTAACTCTCCTGGGTGTTTATTATCCCAGGAGAGTTACGTCTCCTGGGTGTTTATTATGAACTTCAGGAGAAGATTCCTCTGAGTAAAATTCCTGTTACTGTCAGTAAAATACAGCAGGCTCGACAAGGAGGTATAGAAGTTTTCTGTAACACGCAAGACGACATAAATAAATTACTGGAGCATATACAAAAAGCAGATGTACAAGCTGATGTCAAACGAAGAGAAAAGCGACGCCCCAGATGCGCCATACACAATGTCTCTGAGCAGATCAGGCCTGAAGAACTCATTGCCGAGCTTAGTGCTACTGCAGGAGTCTCCGCAAATCTTTACAAACCGCTTTTCCGGCTCAAAGAACGACGCCCCAACAGAGTGCAATGGGTCATCGAGTGTACTCCCACTGGATTTGCAGCAGCACTCAAACTTCGAAAAATCTACACGGACTGGCAAGCACATACAATTACAGAATTCCTTGGAATTAAAAGATGCTTTAAGTGTCAACAATTCGGTCATCTCCAAGATAAGTGCCAAAGTAAGAAAACATTCTGCGCCTACTGCGCAAGACTACACAATGTTAAGGACTGCAAAGCAGAAATGCCAGCCTGTATTAACTGCGGCGACTCAAATAAACGATTTGGTACTAACTTCGATTATCAACACCCAGCCTACGATTCAAACTTTCCCTGCTACCAACGAACAGCATTTAAATTTAGACTTAATACAGAATACTAACCCCATCCCAGAGTGTAACATCCCAAGCCACCTAACAACAGAAAGCAATAGTCCAGAATCCCAACAGCACATAAATGTCGCGCATTTACAAAGAGAACAGCCTTTAAAATGTATACAAATCAACCTACAACATGCTCGATCTGCCACTACGCACTTAGTTTCCTTTGCTACCAACTTAGGAGCTGATCTTCTGTTTATACAGGAACCTTACACACGAAGTGGGAAAGCGATAGGCTTCCCATTAAAGTGGACAGTTTATCAAAATATTGATCCATCTTCTCCACCACGTGCGATAATAGTTTGTTGTAATCCGGCCTGGGCACCTACCATCATTTCCACTCAACGAGATAGTGTTTCCATACTATTAGAGTTGCAAAACTTTACTGCAGTATTAGTTTTCACAGTATTCTCCGCCATCCGCAGATATCAGTACCTCGCTGCAACACTCCCAAGATCTTTTGCAAAGATTCAAGACTTCAAACATCTTCCTGGCAGGAGATTACAATGCCCATAATACAGGATGGGGTTATGCACAGACGGACTCCAGAGGTCAACTTATGGAAGACTTTATTGCTGCCAACAATCTGGTTTTACACAATACTGCTGATGCGCCACCAACATTTGATCGCATACATGCACAGGGCTGGCCGGATTTGACTATTTCATCATTCTCCATAGCACAAAAACATTCAAAACTGGCAAGTGGAAGAAACTGAAAGTCTTTCGGATCACAATACATTACTTTGACATTAATAGCCCAACTACAACCATGATCATTCGCCACTATAACCTGCCAAACAATAAAATCATTCTCCATAGCACAAAACATTCAAAACTGGCAAGTGGAAGAAACTGAAAGTCTTTCGGATCACAAATACATTACTTTTGACATTAATAGCCCAACTACAACCATGATCATTCGCCACTATAACCTGCCAAACAATAAAATACGTGCATTTACAAGGACCATAAAGGAGAAAATTGCCTTACTTGAATCTTCACTGGATCAAGCACATGATTCGGCAAAAATGGAAGACTTAACAAATGACTTAATGAGAATTTTAAAGAATGTCTGTGATGAACAGTTGCCGACACGCACCGCTAAGAAAATACAAAACATCAGTTGGTGGACGCAGGATTTGCAAATTCAAAAAAAAAATGCAGAGCTCTTCGTCGTCGCCTCAAGCAAGAAAGAAGGAACAATATTCAAACAAATACACTTGTGGTTTTTCAGAGAGAAAGAGCGGCCTATAAAAAGCTAATTGTGCAATCGAGACTGCAGTCTTAGGAGAACATTCTGTACGGAGTCTACTGATGTCTATGGCATACCACATAAGATAGCTACAGAAAAACTCTTTAAACCTACTCAATTTCAGCTAATTACATCTCCTGATCTTTCCAACCAACATACAGCTGCTACTTTTCAGAGTATTTTAAACTCGGTTATATACCAAGACTCTCTGGAAGATGATACAGCTAGTCACACACAAATGAGAATTAACAACAGTACACCTCCAACACCATCCGACGTCCACTTTACCATTATGGAGGTAAAACAAGTCCTAAGACAATTACCAAAAAAGAAGGCCCCCAGGCCCTGATGGAATTAATTATGCAATAATGAAAATAGCAGTGGGCGCTTGCCTGCCATTCTTTGTTAAATTATTTAATAAACTGTTACATACAGGCACATTTCCACAGGCCTTCAAAGTTGGACAAGTTGTATTATTCCTTAAAAAGAACCGCAACCCTCAAGACCCTTCGGCCTATCGCCCTATATGCTTGCTACCATCCCTGGGGAAAATTTTTGAAAAATTGATCATGAATCGTCTTCGCCATCATCTACACTCTGGAAATTATCTGCATCCACGCCAGTATGGATTCCGCACAGGATTCTCTACGTTACATGCATTAAATGATATACAAAAGGCCATCTATGACAACCGTAACCATGGCTATCACACGGCTCTAGTCAGCATTGACATAAAAAGTTTTTGATATGCTATGGTGGCCAGCAATAAAGGAAGCGTTAAGATCAGTTAACTGCCCCAGCAACATCTTTAAGGTGCTTTCACACTATCTCTCTGACAGACGTCTCATCATTGTCCATAATAGTGGAATATTGGAAAACCAACAAACTATGGGCTGTCCTCAGGGATCCTGTGCGGGGCCACATTTTTGGAATGTTACCTTCAATGGTACCATAGCGACATCCTGGCCTGAATATGCAAGCATACATGCGTATGCAGATGTTGTAGCATTCATAGTAAAGGGTAAGACTCGCGATGAAATACAAATACATTGGCAAGGGCACTTGCATGAAAATAATACTGTCTTCCAGAGCGAAATGTTGGCTATAAAAGAAGCATTAACTTACCTAGTAGAACAGCGTCATAATAGAGCTATCATATTTACTGATAGTTTATCCTCGATACATGCGATCAATAATCCCGATCACTCTTCTCCCATTGTAACTGCAATACAAAAGATACTAAGAGAAAACTACAATAGCCAATATTTCCTCAAATGGGTCAAAGCGCACGCAGGTCATGCATGGAATGAATTTGCTGATACTTTAGCAAAGCAAGCGGCTGAAAATCCTACAGAACACAATATAAGGCAGTATCATATACTCTGGCCAATGTCACACTTCAAAAAAACACTCAGGCAGAAAGCAACTGACACATGGCAAAATGAATGGAATATCAGCAATACAGGACGAAGGACAGCTTATTTTATTCCAAAGGTGCATCTTGAACGCAATATAGGGAATTCACTGTTAGTCCGATTTGTCTCAGGGCATGGCCCGTTTCCACAGTACTTTGAAAGATTCAGAATTACAGAAACAGATAATTGTGTTTGTGGTAATATAGGCAGCCCGGATCATTATCTCACAGACTGCCCACTCACAGAGCAGCATCACGTTCATTTACCAGAGCTTAATAGACAAGCCTATTGTAAATTTATAATTAAACAAAAATATCTTGTGGAAAAAATAACAAAAATCATGGACAAACTATCTGCGTTAGGCACCGATCTTTGTCAAATAGCTTAGTAACACTGACTATATTCATGTAATTATGTGCTTGAAAAGACACCTGCAAGTGAATACACTATCAATCAATTGTCTATTTGCGTGAATATAATAATAAAAGTCATGCACATACCTTCTGCCTTAGGCTTGATCAGTGCCAAACTGTTCAAAATTGCTGAATATGTACTTACATGCTTGAGAATACATTTGTGAATTACTGCATAACTATGTGTAATATTTATCAGAATTACTAGCAGTAGCAGTGCATAATTAGTATTGTAAGGTATAATAATTGTATAATTGGTAATGTAATTAGTAATTGTAATGTATAATAATTGTATAATTGGTAATGTACTTAGTATTGTAATGTATAATAATTGTATAATTGGTAATGTTTCTATTATTCATCGTAACATACACTGTAAAGTCTATGTGTGTACTGCATAATTAGTATTATAATGTATTGAAATTGCATAATTCGTACTCTAATGTATAATTGGTAATGTATGAATTGTATAAATCAGTATCGTAATATATAGTGCATGCTGCAAAATTAGTTTTTAAATGTATTATAATTGAATCATTAGTCTCGTAACGTATTGTAAAAGTAGCATGTTAAAATAGCCCCTGTATGGCCATGTATTTATATTTTTCTCAGATATCAACCCGGGCAGTTGGACGGCAGCGAACCCCATTGGCGGCTCTGGATAATGGCGGACGTGGTGCTGTACTGATTGACCATTAAGGTAAAGGGACAGTGCCCACGTCCTCCGTCACTTATCACTTATCACTTATCTAAGCACAGAATCCTCGGATTCAAAGTTGATTCCGTAGTCGTCGGACCGCACTACGGGAAACATAGAGACATCTAGCAGCATCAACTTGTGACATTCCCATTTCCATCTATCCGATCGCCCGCAACCTAAAAGAATCGTCCAAACAACATCGATTGGACATTTGAAAAACTCTAAATCCATTATGTTTACGAATGCTTTTGTAGTGAATGGCAAACGGGAAAAAACAATTTAAGTACAAAACCAAAGAGTAGAATAAGGTTGTTTGATTCGTTATACTGCAAAACCCCAAAGACTATATAAGGGGAAGAATACCTTCGTGGAGAACTTTCTAAGGAAACCTAGCTGATATACACGTTACATATGGGTAAAACCACGAAGGCGCCCATGCCGCCAGCCCTTTCGCGGAATTTAAGCTTCAGACTGAACTACCAACTATCAGTGAATTCACCACTGAGCTGCTGGTCGGCGCAATGAAACAAGGTGGTGTGTGGTGTATTTAATTATGGCAAAGCACACCAGGGCTATCTGCCTAAGAGGAGGGATGCCTTTCGTGGAGGACTTCCTAAGGGAAACTGGCTCGTATACACGTTACACATGGGGAAAACCACGAAAACACCCATGCAGCCAGCCCGTTCGCGGGATTCGAACCTCGGACCGAACTACCAGTGTTCAGCGACTTTACCGCTCGGCCGCTGGTGGGCCGCAATGAAACAAGGAAACTACAGTTTAGTCTGAATCCACCGCTCTGCCTTAGATAGATAACGCAGATATATTTAAGAAACCACAAAGACATACTAAAGAAAAAATAAAAGTGCTTTCTAATTTTAAAACACATGTAGCGCAAGGGTATAAGAAAAAAATAGTGAGTAACAAAATTGGTTATAACTATTTTTAAAAAGTATACTCTTAAGTTGTGAATATAATTTAAAAAAATTCGTGACATCGTCGACTCGAAACATTTTTTCATGTCAAAATGTATATCCTGTTGAAATTTGAGCAACTGAATTTGAGAAGTATTTGCTGCCCGTATAAGCTGCATTCATTTGTTTACAAGTTAGTAAATTATAACATATTTTCGTAAAACCTATCAGAGATATATGCCAATACTGATAGATAGCAATGAACGAGCATATCATGATTTTGTTCAAAAATAGAATTTACGTATTTGTGAGATTTCCTGCATAATATTTCCATCTGATTTCGCTTTTTAAACTTACTTTTCGAGAGTTTTTGCAGCTGAAATGAAGTGAAATGAAATGGATGAAATGATGACATAAATAAGTATTTTAACTCATGCTATAATAAAGCTGTTATTTTAATTATCTTAAGAACTTTCCCTGTAACTGTAAAAATAATTCAGTGCTTGTAATACATTGTTCGCAGCAGATTCCATATCAAACAGAGATTCTTTTCTGCGCTTTATATTTGTCACGTTTTGAAAACTTTCAAAAGGGCCTTTCCTCAGCAAACCAGGCACTTTGCTATTTCGAGGAGTATGTTGAAACCTCTCCTATTGTCATCCTTTCTAGAAAATTCTCGTCTCAATAATATAGTTTGCGCGCAGTAGTGGCTGAGCGGTAGGTTGTTCCGCCCTGAGTTCGATTCCAGGCGAATGGGCGGAGTGCATACGAGTTTTTTGTAGTTACTGACGAATATTAAACAACGAAATCCTAGTCCCAAACTAGTCTCCTAGGCACTCGTCGACTTATCGAGGACAGTTTTCCTGTGATAATTGCTAGCATCAGTGATAAAGCGAAAATCATTAGGAAAGGTGAAGTGGCTGCAGCACGTACTCGGGAACCTGTATTAAACGACCCAATATTTGAACGGAGACCTTAATACTGGAGTTATTGCAGACTGTTCAAGGGAGTTTTCATGCTATAATGGACGGGTTGAAAGTGCAACAGGGTAAATATGGCATCCAGAAGGTATCCTCAAACATCGTTCCTCTCCTGTCAATGATGAACAATGTAGTAAGAGATAAAAACTGCGTAGAGAACTTTATGTACATTTCCCTTTGCGTGCAAAGAAAAAAAAATTTAATGAGTTCATAACTGAAATAATGACTTTGGTAAACAATGAAAATTGAAACACTAAATATTCACTAAAATCCTCCAACCGTTGTTTGGCTCTGAAAGTCCCAAAGTTTCCAAAAATGCTATCTAAGCAGAAGATGATCATAATTCCAAAATGCGGCTTCTGTTTCTTTATCTTTCTAGCTCGCTATTTTTCCATTTCACTGTCGCTCTCTTCTAATAAAAACATTCTTCGTTCTTTGGCTACAATTAAAATTCACGTGCGCGATGATATTTAAACGTTTCGTTAGAAATGTTCTTGTATTTATGAGTACGGCCTAGCCAGGTTGAGAATTTTATTTTTTTTGAATTCGTCTAAATTATGTTGCCGCTATTTTATATTAATAACAGTATGAGATGAAGGCATGTAGCAAAGCAACGATGCAATTTTGAAATAGAACGAAAGATAATGTCTTTTAAAACATTTAATGAAAGTGTAACAACTGGTTTTACTGCATGTAACAGCGTGAAATAAATCAAGGAGGATCAACTGGGAAGATATAACCGCAGTTGAAAGAAATTTGATTTTCCTGAAATGTGTTTTTACAGGTGAGGTGGCATGTTTAATGCAATATAATATATACTGAATATAAATCACTGTTTCTAAATCGAAATTATCTGATTCTCTAGAAACAAACTGAACTGAAAACAATCATAAATCAAAAGTTAATGTTTTCTATGAAATCACAGGAATCAATTTACTATATAAATGAAGATACCCTTTTAAATATGGCGGATGTAAATATGGTTACATCTGATAGTGTTAGCGAAATAGGATTAAATAGGCTAAGTGAAAACTGTAAACTTTTATATATTTTAATTAAGCAGTTTTATGTTACGCATCTTCCCTGTGTGTTCTCCCTTTTCCGTTTTTCTGACAGAATGTAAATTTTAGCTGACGCGTATTTAATGGGGTAGAAAGAAAAAGTATTTAAAGAAAAGTTCTAGAAAGTTTAGTGACAGCGTGTTCTGCCCAAGTAAAGCCGCTTTACTAGTTTAAATTCTACATCAGCTGTCTGCTTCAGAGTTGCGTTATTCCTGCCGTTAATGCTTGTCGTGCCCATATAGGGACAGCCAACTTCCGCGCTAAAT